ATTAAACACAAAAATATCCCAACTCCTGAGCTATGGAACAGAAATTATTAAAATCCCACTGCTCCAAGATTGTTTCCTCCCCATGCACAGCAATTCCAAACAGGGACACGTCCCGTGGAGGAGTCCTGAGTTCCTCAAGTTCATGGGGGAAACTTCAATGACTTTCATAATCTGAAAGCACCTCATAATCAAAATTGATTTCATTTAACCAGTGGCAATCTGTTGGCAGCCTGAGAGAGGGAAACACCGATTAAAACAAAGCTGGCAAAACACATAAAAAATTAATTGACTTCTTGATTGCTATCAAAATTGAAAAAAGGCTCAATCCTACACCCAATGATACAGCCCTGAATGGCAGCAATTAAAGTCCCTCTTTCCAATTACAGCTTTTTACAGCATTTAAATCAATTTTTGTACAGCAAATGAGCGTAGTGTTTAACCCTGAATCGAATCAGCATGGTGTTGTGGGCTAAAAATCATCATCCTGGAGCATGATATGCAAGAATAAAACTCAGATAAACTGAACAAAATGACAGGAATGTTCCTGTAGATCATTTTTGACTCGTGTTTTAGGCCACTGGAGGGGAATTCATAAGCAGATTTGGGACTTGCCTATCAACATGACCTCACCTATATAAATATTTATTCAAACATTTGGGCACATTGCAGTAGATTCTAGATTAGAAACCAAAGGAAGTGACTATAAAAGGAAAACTGTGCTGGCAGTTTCTGTTTAAAAACTGCAAACCCTCAAAGACTTCTTGCAACTGGGCAGTAACATCCAGAGAAACTCCAAAGCCTGTGTTTGATTTATTCCTACCTTTTATAAAATCCCAGTCCTGAATGGCCTTGACTCAAAAGCCTGATAGATAAATTTTCATTGCTGAGATTGCTGAAGTAGCTCAGCATCACAAGGATGGGGCTGGAATGAGAATTAGCAGATTTTAAAAAAACACCAAAAAATGAACTAAAGTTGTGAAATTGGCAGCTTTCTCTTCTTTCAGCACAGCACAAACACCTTCTGCTGTCAGGACCAGAGAGCTGGACTGGAATGCCCAGCAGGTTTGCTCAAGCACAGGACAGTGCCCTCTCCTCCAGGCCTCACCTCAGCATTCCATCATTTCCAGAGCCTCACACCAGGCTCCTCAGGACTCTCCACCATTATCTTCTGACCTTTCCCTTTTTTTTATTCTTTTTTTTTTGTGTCTTTCTCAGTTAATCAGTAACCAGAGACTTCTGCCAGCACTTGGTGCTGCTGGTATCAAGGTCCTGAGCCCCACGGAGCCACTTCCACACCGTTCTCTCCTTCCCCATTCCAGCTCCCCAGCCTTTCCCTGCGCTGGGAATAGAAAACAAAAATAAAAAGGTCTATTTTCCATCCTAAAGCACTGGCTCAGCAGCTCCAGAGCCCAATTATTCCAGGCAGAAAAAGCTCTTCCCCACAGCTACACATCATGAGGGACAAGTCTTGCCATGTCCCCGTTCAGGAGGTGGAGGGAAATAAAAAGAGACATTTTTTTATGAGACAGTTACTGAGCTGTAATTTCCCACATCCGTTTACAACTGCAAACAAGCCCAGGCAGAGGAAGGTACTATCTATTACCATAATTATTTTAAAAACCTTCACCCCACAGGGTTAGGAAAAAACCAATGATTTACAGCAGAGCCATAACTATAAAGCTGCAGATGGGAGCTGAGCTATTTTGCCCTTGTCTAATGCTGAGATCTCATTAAACTGCGTGCTTAAACCTTAAATATTTGAGAGTAAATGGTAGTTAAAATAGGGAAATCACTCTCATTAAGCAGCCAGCCTTTCCTCTGCTCAGCTTCTCAGCTCATCATTTGTTATTTGGTCATTTGTGGAGTTTTGCACCGCTCCATCTTCCAGCCTGGACAGCCCCAAAATTCCTAAATAAAGGGAAAAGGGCAAGAAAAAAAAAAGCACTCAAGCCATTTTTAAACCTTAAAAAGAAACTGATGAGAGAACAGAAATTTTTTTCTTTTCTAAGTTCAATCACATTGAAGGATGATCCTTTGGCCAAAGTCATTCAGTGAGACAACAGGCAGCAACTTTTCTTTATTCTTTCTAAATCCAGAAAGATGAAAGGAAGATCTAGAAAGGTCTATTCTTTGACCTCGACCTGCTCTGCATCATCATCACCATTATTATTATTATCATCATCATCATCATTATATCTCCAAGAAATTAACTTTTATTATAAGAAGTTTCTCCAAGAAACTAACCTTTAATAAAACACTGCACCACACAACCCCACATCCAATTTTCTCTCTGAAATCTTCTTGCCTTTCAGAAGTTACTGCACCAAATCAGAGCATTAATAATTATTTTTGCTTACTTCCTTCTCAAGCCACCCACAAAATCCAAAGCAATGTCTGCCAACCTATCCAGGCTAAAACTGGAAGCAGAAAGAGGAAATGACATAAGAGAAAAGTAGAATTTATGCAAAATGTTGGTGATATGAAAGCTCAGAAATCTTCATAAATTAGCAGTGCACAGTAATTGAAGCTGCTTGAATCATGCTCCTCCATCCTTCCACTTCAATGGGATATGGCAGGAAGTAATTAATGGAGACAGGCTGCCTTGCATATAGCTGCAAATAATTAACCTGGCCTCTCATTTCTGGTATTGGCTGTTTGGAAAAACAAATTTCTCCCCATATAGAACACTTTGTTTCACACGTAACCCCAGGGATCAGCTGTTCTTGATTCTTTAAATATACATAAAGAAATTTAATGGGAGCCCATATGGAAAATTTAACCTTCACAAAGGCTTCGCTAAGTGCGTAGATGAAGTGTTTCACAGAGCATTTGATGTTTTTAAAAAATGAAAATAAATTAAGACATACAACCCCCCCCCCATTCAAACAGAGACTTAAAATGTAGTGTTATGTACTAGGGACTAAATAAGAGGATAAATTTTTATTTCTTCTCTCTTGTTTTCTACTCAAAATTACAAAACCTGCTTAGAATAAAAACTGTTCCTCATTATTTCTTCCTTTTTTTGCTGTATGCACAGCACACAGTTCATGTTCTTCTGAACACTTTTACCTAAAATGTAAAACTCGTAACTAATTAGATCCTCAACTTATTTTTGTAGGAGTAAAGGCCATGAAGAACACTTAGGATTCCATTATGAATAACAGATGCGAGACGGGTACATTTATAAACCACTAAATTTAGAAAAGATCTGCGGAGAGTTCTGCTGAACCTTTCAAAATTAAAAACCTGCCTGTACTTTGCCACTGAATCCATCAGAGCAAGTTCTGAGGAAGCAGAATACAAAAGGCCAATGAGTTTTCCACGGATCCAGCATTAATGCGTGCCATGGATGGAATTTCAAGATGCCCAACAAAGCAGGCAATATCCACGGGGCACATTAGCTAAATGCCAACATTCCCTGTGTTAGTTGGGGGTTATTCAATACCCTCGGCTCGCCATCTCGTGCAGGGCAAGCTACAAAATTAATGAAAGAAATCAGATCCCCCTTGCAGCCAGGATCCCACAACCTCGGAGCACTCTGTTTGAAAACACCACTCGGATATTTCCCCAATTGTTCGGGCCGCTCGGTTCCCACAAGGAAACTCGGCTCACACAAAGGCACGGCCCCGGCACCTTCCTCCCGGGCACAAAGGAGCCAGATGGCCCCAGGGAACTGCTCCTGTTCCTCCGGGAAAAGCTGGGAATGCTTTGGGACACACGGACATCGCCAGCCGTGCTCCTCCATGCCCAGGGAACTGGCCTGAGAACACCAGGAGGAGCTGGCACTGCTGTGCCCGCCTCAAATCAGACAAAAAAAAACACCCCAAAACAGTGCTCAGCATTTTTTATGAAGCCGACAATCCTCAATACCCAAAGAGTTTGCGTTCATTTAAAGGGGGTCAAACAGCCGGCACTGCAAGGAGAGCCCAGGTCTCTTCCCAAGCCTGGCAGCGGCTCCCGATGCCCAGCCCAGGGCCTGGATTTTCCAGGAGCCCTTCCAGGTTTAGCAGGGCAGCAGCTGCCACCCCTGTGCCCCGTGAGTGCCTGGGCACTGCCAGAGCTTTTCCAGGAAGGATTTGGACTCTTGGATCTGGAGGAACACCCTCCCTCCTCACGGAAAATTCCCAGCATTTCTCCCATCACCCCAGCGGGTTCCCTCACACCCAGCCGGAGCTGCTTTGCCACACAAGGACGAACTCCTCGTCCTTGCCCACAGTTACGAAACGCGTGCCTTGTGCCACACCAAAAGCTGCGTGGCAGCACCACATCCTAAAGGCAGAGGAAGCTGCAGTTCCAACATTTGTCATCCGCAAAGCCACGGAATACCCCGATCGTCAGCGTGCCCGGCAGAGCGCCGAGGTCGCCCAGCCCCGAGCGCCACGATGCCGGCTCTGCTGCCTTCCCTCCAGGGCAGGCACAGCGCGCTTTAATGACAAAAACTACCAAACACAATTCCCAAACACCGCGTCGTGCTCGGCTCCCTGCACAGGGAATTACCCAGAGCACATTTTCCACACTTTAGCATCCTCCAGCAGCGCTCCTGTTTCACCTCAGCCGATGAGCCCGGCTCTGTCCGGGGGAGCAGCCAGCCCGCTGCCAAAATCACATCACAGCACACTTGGCTGTAACAAAAGATGACTCCGGGGAGTTTGTGCTCATCATCGTTATTCCACGCACGTCAGAGCCACCTCCAGCAGCCTTGCCTTCAATTAAACCTCTACTACTGCAAAGGGCAAAGGGGGTATGGACACATTTGTGCCGTGCCGAGAGTGGAAGGGGTAAGGAGGGATAAAGGGAAGAGAGGATTACACAGCCCTTTTTCAGAGACAAAAAGCAAGGAAATCCCCTCCCCACAATGCACAAGACAACCACACAAACCTGGTGGGTGAGAACACATCCACGCCTTGCCTTGGACCATCCTCCCTCCCTCACCCCCCCTTTTTTTTTTTTTTTTTTTTTGGTGTTGTTGAATTATTGGTTATTTCCAGCTGAGAACTTGCCTCTCCTCCGTGCCCATCAAATATCCCGAAGATGGAGGGGTGAGTCTTGTTCACCAGGTCGGTGATTACTTCGAACCTGTCCTCCATGTGATCCCTGCGGCCTTGGATGGAGTAGACAGCCACGTTGTGGCTCTTGAACTCCCAGGTCTTGGAGAACTCAGCGTCCAGCACGTCTAAACCCCCGAGCCTGTCATTCTGCATGATCTCGGCCACCTTGCCCTTCACCATCTTCACCGCATCCCTGCTGGACTTAACAATGGTTTTCACCTCATCCGTGTGGAAGAAATAACTCCACAGGGCCAGGCTGATGCACAGCAAGAACAGGGTCTCCGGTCTGAGCAAGAAGTAACGCATGATCCGACCCAGCAGAGACAGCAAAGTCATTGTATCCTCTATCATTTATTATCGCGACCGTGTCTCCCCACAGCATGCAGCGGGGCGGCTCCGAGCCCGGGGCCGCTCGCTCAGTGCATGCTCGGCCGGCCGGGCAGCGCCGAGCCCCGCGCTCCGTTCTGCTCCGCTCCGCTCCGCTCGCTGCGGCTCCGCTCCCGCTGCTGCCGGCGGCCGCGCCCCGGCCCCGCGGCGCCCCGTCCGTGCCGCGGGGGCGCGGGCCCGCCGATGGATGCGCCGAGCGCTGCGCCGCCGGATGCCTCCTGAACGCCGCTGCCCGCCGCGGTTCGGCTCGGCTCGGCCGGGAGGTGGCTGCCAGGGCCGCCCGCGGTACCTGCGTCCCGTGTCCCCCGCGCCCGGCGCCGGCCCGCCCTCTTTCCACCCGGGCGGAGCGTCCCGGCCGCCGCCCCCGCCGCGCCGCTGAACTACAAATCCCGGCAGCCCCCGCGGGAGCGCGCCGGTGCGGGCGGGGTGTGGGGCATGCTGGGAGTTGTAGGCTGGGAGCGGCCGGGGAAGGAGGCAGGAGGAGGAAAAATGTATTTAATCAAAGTGATTTTAATAAAAATCAAAAATGTTTAAAATAAAAAAATCAAAATTGTTTAATCAAAGTGTAATAAAAATTATTTAATCAAAGTGATTTAAATAAAAAAATTAAATTAAAAAATCAAAATTACTTATTAAAAATGTAATTAAAATTATTAATCAAAGTAACTTGAATAAAAATTTTTCAAAATAAAAAAATCAAAATTATTTAATCAAAGTGTTATGAAAATTCTCTAATAAAAGTGATTTCAATAAAAAAAAATTAAATAAAAAATTTTAATCAAAGTGTAATTAAAAATTACTTAATCCAAGTTATTTGGTTTTTGGAGCAACCTGGGATAGCGAGAAGTGTCCGTGCCCATAGGATGAGATACCCGTTCAAGTCCCTTCCAACACAAACCATCCTGGGATTCTTCTAAAGGATTAAATTGACCCTTGTGCGTTTCCCAATCCCATTCTCAAGCTCGCAGTCAAAACGGAAACAAAGCAGGATCTTGTCAATTATTAAACCTGGAGTAGAGTTTGCCAAGGTAGCAAATTTTGTTGGAAAACCCTCAAAGCATCTTGCTTCTTTCTCTGCCCCCCTTGTGTAAATTGCCATTTTGCTGCACTGAAAACCACGAGCCGTGTGTGTGAGCAGAATAATATATAATATAAATATTTATATTTAAATATACACAATTAAATGCCAGCTGCAGGGTGGAAAACAGAAAATCCATCACCCAACCAAACCAAAGCATCAACCAACCCCAGAGAGCGTTAGAGCCGGCGTGAGAATCAAACCCCTCAAACACAAAGTGAATTAACAAACCACAGAACCCCAAAACTGAAATTCTGACTGACAAACTGTAAATTTCAGCTAGGGGCATCATCCCAGGTTTTCCAGCAGCTCCCACTCCCTCTGGACTTTTGTTGCTGTAAATTCTTTGTTTTTCCACTTCTTCCAAATTCAGCTGGAATAAATGACAGAACCCCCGAGCCTGCTTAACCCAAAGTTAATAATTTCAGCCCTTCTGTGTTCCATTCTTCCATCCAGATTTGAAAAAACACCAAAATTAATGACAAATATTAATTACAACCATGACACTGCTTTAAATTTAAGAGGTGCACTCTGATAGTATTTTATCCAAAATTTTCCATTTCAGGCCTAGAAAAACCTCTCCCCTTTATCCTCCCCTCTGCCACAATGTGCTTGAGCTGACCCACAGATTTTTCTACCCAAAATGCCAAAATCTGCACCTGTGAGTTGGGGAATGTGGAACCAGCACAGGTGCTGCAGCACCTGTAGCTAATGAGGCTGATTAATTAACTTAAAGTACTTAATGAATACTGAGGCTGAGTGTCCTGAACAGAGGCAAACAAGAAGGAAATAATATTTATTATTCTACAGAAATGTGTAGTTGACAAAAAGCTGTGCAGCCAATAATTCTAATAATATTGATATTAATGATGTCTATTGTGGCTTTTTTTAATATTAGGGAAAGATAAAGAAATGTAAAATAAGGATGATGCTGCTCACTGCCAACAAGCAATTCATTATTTGTCATTTCACTGCAATATAAATGTGTGGTTGTCTATTAGCTACAAACTGTGTTGCTAGTAATTCTAATAATGTCATTAATATCACTATCTCTATTACAACTTTTTAAATTCTATTAATTTTATACTTAAGGAGAGATAAAATAAATGTAAAATAAGAAGGATGATGCTCTCTCCCACCAATTAATTTATTTGTCATTTCACTGCAATATGAATGTGGAACTGTGTATTAGCTACAAACTGTGTAGCTAATAATTCTTATAATATTATTAATATCACTATCTCTATTATGGCTTTAAAAATCTATTAATTTTATACTTTAGGAAAGATAAAATAAATGTCAAACAAGAAGGATGTTGCTCTCTCCCAACCAATTTGTTATTTATTTGTCACTTTACTGCAATATAAATGTGTCACTGTCCATTAGCTACAAACTAATAATTAGCTGCAAGCTAGTAATTCTAATAATATTATTAATACATATTCTATAATATTATTATATCACTGTCTCTATTATGGCTTTTAAATTCTATTAATTTTATACTTAAGGAGAGATAAAATAAATGTAAAATAAGGAGGATGCTGCTCTCTCCCACCAATGAATTCATTATTTATTTGTCATTTTACTGCAGTATAAATGTGGAACTGTGCCTCCTGTCAGGTTGTGTTTCCCTGTTGGCAATCTGGGTCCAGACCCTGGAATTGTGGAGGGAAATGAGGAGGTTCCAGAGCCCAGAGCTTGTTAAAATATAGGAATATATATAAATAAAGCAAAATAGAAGTTTTGAAGTTATTCTTCTTAACGTTCTTTTTCACCAGTTTAAATAGTATTTTTTAATTAGTTAGAAAAGTCTGCATTGCGGACTTCAAGTAGTTAATAATTAAGTTGAAAGTAAAAATAATTTAAGCGTCATTTCTTAATTAGACAAGTTTAACCTTAGAAGACCTAACTTATTGCTAAAATACTACAGAACTCACAACTTATAAAACTGTACTGTAGATAAGAAACAAACAACATCCAAGTCCAAACACAAAATACATCTCAGACACTTTAATCCCAACCCTAACACAAAACAAGAAGATAAAAATGCAATAATTATTGAGCCAGCCCAGGGGCTTGAGCCAAAAAAATCCCAATTTCAGGGCTCATTCTGCCCTTCCCAGGGGAGAAGCAGAACTTCAGCACCCACAGGTTCTTTTAAAAACCAGCAACAAAAACCTCACCAATGCTCGGAGTAACAGCTGCTGCTTAATTTCAGTTTTTGGTCACTGGAGAGAGGAATTGCGAGCGATTTCTGAGCCGGCTTTGTGAATAAAGCGGAGAATTGCTTGGAAAACTGGGAAAAGCATTCCTTGCTCAACAGCTCCTCCTCCTGCTCGCCCAAAGCGTGAAAGCATCAGGGCATCGATTGTTTTTCTGTTTTGGCCACAGGACCAAATAATCTGATTCTGCAAACGGGAATTCATTGTTCAGCGCTCCGGTACGCAGGATTTGTGGGTTATAAACAGAATAAACCTGGGAATTATCTTCCCAGTTTTCCCAAAGCAATATTCAGCTTTTCTGAGCAATTTTTGCGGTACTCAGAATGAAAATAGGGAGTGAGATATTGGAGAAACTCTCACAATATGCTATCCTGAATAATTCCAGCGTTTTTATCTTTGTCATTTCTGACTTGTATTAAATAAAATTCAACGGTTCTGATTGGAATAAGCCTCATTTTGTGAATGTACTTACAAGAATGGCTTAAATAAAAATAATAGCAGTGAAAACCTTTCATTTCCTGCAGTTGCAAACTGAATTTACCATTATTTCACCCTGGGGATGAGCAGTGAGGACACAGCACTGATGGGTCACCAAAAATCATTACAATAAACATTTATTATTATTATGGATGGAGATTTCCTTGTAAAAATCCTCCCAAAATCTGCGGGGTATCTGTTCTATAATATATAATATCTATTATATGTTATATATTATATCTATATAATATCTATATAAATTCTATAATATCTGGGATGCTAAGATTTGGGGGATGTTGCTGTTTGCTGAATTCTGCTGCCCAATTAAAAGGTTTTCTCAGGATTTTCAGGTTTAAATACTTCTATTGGCAAATCAGATGTGCACAGTTGTTTCAAGCAATACAAAACACAATAATGTGACTCACTGAAGATTAGTCCTGGAAAATATTAAAGCAAAACATTCCCCAAAAGCTGTGGATTCACCTCCCTTTTCCTGCGCTGAGATACACAATCAGAATAGAAAAACCAGCACCAATAATAACCAGTGTAAAAGCGGAGTTTTCCATGTCAGGACTGCAATGCAGTAAAAGAAACGCTGGGTTTTTCTTTGCAGCCAGGTGTAAGAATTGATTTTGGGACACTCAGGGTGACCCAGGCCCAGCTCTGCAGAGGAATCACTCGGTGCAACCCCAGCCCCTGCTCTGTCCCTCAGGCTGGGTGGCAGAAGCGAGGCTGAGCTCTCCTGGCAGGGCTTTCCCCTCTGCTGATTTAAATTTCATTTCCTGATGTCACTGCTGGGGTTTCACCTCACAGCGAACACCAGGAATTGCAGGGAAACTCTGGGGTGAGAAATCCCATCCCAGCAGTTCTGCTCTGCATCCCCCCCGAGGAGGAACATTTGCAGAGGTGAAATGCAAACAGCAATTTCCCACCCAGCTTGCTCCTTTCTCTTTTCCAGCATTCTCAATCCCAGGACATCTTCATGTGTAAAATCTGATTTTTATTTATTTCCCAGTGCCATCGAGTGACCTCGGTGTCAGTGGGAAGGAGAGGCACAGGGAGATTTCTGGCTGATGTTGTAATATCTTTTATATATTTATAAAAAATAAAAGATATTTAAAGATATTTAATTTAAATACATAAAAATTAAAAGATATTTCAAAAATATCTTTTATTAAACACATTATTCTGCTGTGGAATGGTGTGCACCAAAACACAGTGCAGTGAAATTATTATATCTATTATATATAATATTAGTAT